AGCCTGGGATTGTTCACATTTGCTTAAATCCACTTTTTCAATAAACTAAAAATGTCAGCCTAGGAAGGAAAATGTGCTATTATTTACCTCTAAGAAGCTTAAAGTTACACCCAAGTGGCCTCATCCTCTGACTACTAACTCCCCACTGACTACAGCTCAAGGCAGGGCTCCGGTTTCATGACCCATCTCTCCCTTCTAACATCCTGAACTTTTCTAAGAACAAGAGCACAATCAACACGTGTGGTTAACTGACAATGCGAATGACGCAGCAAGAGTTCAACTTACATACAGTTCAAAATTCTATCATGAAGGAAACAAGAAGTCAGTGGTATCAAGATGTGGCAAAAAGAAAAAAAGTGGGTAAATAAAGAAAATTAGAAATACGAGGTTCAGATAGACTCCATGTAGAGAGGCCAAGAGGAGTAATAATTTTGTCCCCAATTCTTCAAGGTTTTCAGGGCCCACTTTGGTATTTTCAGACAGTAAACAACTATTGTAGTCAATGTTTATTTTAAGACTCATTAAGCTTTTCATTGATAACATACTAAATAATACCCTAACAGTATCTCTAAAAGAAATAAAGAATAATGCATAATTATTGCTATAACATAGCACGTAAAGTCACCCTACTACTTTACAATCTAGTTCGTAACTTTATTAATAATTTTACCTAAAATCAGGCTTTTTGTGTAAGTAAATAAGGGCCTATAAAATGTTAAAGGAAAGGTGTGTCTATAAGTAAGCAGTGGCCCTTATAATTTGTTTATATCAATTGTCACTCTGTTCAAACACAGCAAGCCACTTGGAGAGGAGGACTCACTGCTCAATATTAAGACACTGATAATAATTACTGCTCCTTTTAATATCACTGGCCTCACAAATATACACCACTCATCAATCTAAAGTCTTCATTTTACTGTTACACAAATCCTAATCTTGCTTTAATCTGATAATTAACCCACTCCGTAATAATGTACCCCACCTCTAACAATTCAACAGCTGTCTATCCATTAATTTGACAAGTATAGGTGAAATTTTCTAAATATTTTATCAAAGGAACAAAAAAGAAATATTAACAGAACTTTTTACCTCCTTCCCAACATCAGACAGGAAATTACAGGTACATTCAATTGAATAAACGGCCTCGGCAGTTCGTTTATAAATACTGTAGTTTTCAGAATTCAGCTGTTCCAAATAGGCCACAACAGCTTCGTGAATATTTGGATACTCCAAAGAAATAGGCATGTCCAAAGAAACTAGAAACAACGCTGCTGACAGAGGCTCTGGTAGAAAATGGCTTGCCTTGATAAATTTAAAAAAAAAAAAAAACAATTTTAAATAAACATGGTAGACTATAATCTTAATGTAGTTCAACTTTCCTTATTAGTGATTCTCTATCACAAAGTCTATGGTTTTCCAAAGAAAATTCTCTTCCCCAACGCATCATCTATCTGTATGCTTTTGTGCAATGTAAATTTTCTCTGCCCAGAATATCTCATGTGCAAATTTCCACTCTTCCTCAAAGCCTGGGATACAGGATACTTCCTTCTTCCCCACACCAACACCCAGAAGTACTCCCCGCCAAGGCCATGCATCTTGTTTATTCTCTGCTGTTGAACTTGAGGAACAGGCTTTTTTCTCTAAGTATAATATTTCGTACACACGCACACAAATCTCGAAAAGAATGCAATGAGCTCCCGAGGACAAGAACACGTCCCCACCGTAGCTGAGCATCAAGCCCAGGGCTTAATAACTACATGTTAAATCACATAACACTAAACAAAGAATAACTGAAGATTGATTTGAACAGAAATTGATTTTTATTTGGTTTTGTTTGTATTTTAGAAGGGAAAGGGGAAATTCAACATAATATTTAAAACAGTTCCAGAACACTCAGAGAAGACTGACCCTTAATTAGTATAAAATCAACAGGCCCAAATGAGATGTATCTTTTACAACCTTAAATCAATTGATTTAAACTGAAAGAACTGGTTGTTTGTTTGTTTTTAATAATTCTAGCTTCATGAATGGATTCTACTTAGAATTAAGACAATGAAAAGGATTAAAAATTCAACATTCAGAGAATATCACATGGCAGAGCTCACTGTTATGTCTGAAACGCTGTTTTGATATAAAAGTAGGTTTGGTCATGATTCATAGATAACCTGATATTTCAAAGATAATCATTAACTGCCTGAAAGTCTAAGATTAAAAGCTGACTCAGGTTTTAACTCAAATAAAGTTGCTAAATGACATATCAGAAACTACAGGAAATCAAATTTTTAGATTACTAAATATTTTTTAAAAATAAAATATAGAGACTATTAAGACAGCAGCTATCAGAAGGTCAAGAGAAATTTCATTATTCTGTGAAGAATTCTCCTAGCAGGAAAAAAAAGAGAAAAACTGAATTACCTGACCACCTATCACCCACGCGCTCGGCAAACATTTACTGGGTCCCGACGGCAGGCCAGGTAGCATCCAGGGCCGGAGAAACCCAGCCGGACGCAAAACACAACTTCCGCCCTCATGAAGCGGCCCCTCCCGGGGAGAAGGCAGAGTGAACCACTGCACCTTCAGAAGATGTCAGGGGTGGCTAGGAGTGCTGGGAGAAACTTTACACGGGGTGTTCCAGACGAAGGGAAATGGAGACGTGATGGGGAGTGGGCCAGGGGAAGGCCTCTCTGATCAGGTGACATTTAGGAGCCCTGAGGAGTCAGGGCCACGGGGATGGGGATGTGTGAGGGGAGAGCAGGCCCGGAGGCTCGGCGACTGAGGCGTGGCAGCAGGAAGGTGAAGGGGCCAGCGCTGAGGAACGGAGGCGGGGCGGCGGGGCCAGATCAGGTAGGGCTTCCGGTCACCATAAGGACTGGTCCTTGAGGAAGTACTGCAAGGTTTCCAGCAAGTTATAATATCAGGACCAGTCTGAAGAAAGCAGATGAGGGGAAGCGGAGAGGCACAAAGGACGTCGCTGCAATCATCTAGGCAACACAGGACTGTGGCTTGAGCCCAGGCAGCAGCAGTGGACACGGTGGGAAGCTCAGATTCCGGATAGATGTTCAAGGGAGAAATGCAGTTTGCACAGGTACTGGATCTACGTGTGCGTGAAAGACGGGACTCGAGGGTGAC